TGCTTGGTGTTCACATTGTCGTGCTTGATGGCTGTCCGCACAAGTTGGCCGGCAGGATATCACCGAAGAGAAGAAAGGCCGGATATGCGAATTTGGGAACGTTTTGTGACGTGGGGTCCTTGCCGTCGCAGCTTCAAGTTGAATTCAGAAAGGGTTACTGCTGGTGTGCGATGCATGTCAGGCAGTGAGAGAGGAGCGTACAAGCCTTGCATCATAAATTTGCAATTAGCTGCAAGCTCATGAACAGTAAACTTACATGCAGCGCGAACAGTCATCGATAGTAAGAGCGTCATCTTGCCAAGACAGTCACTGGCGCGCTGCCAACATGCAGTGCAGAGCCGGTCGCAACATCCGCACACTCCGTAGAACTCGATCTCTAGGTTTAAAGACCTGGCCTTCGCTCAGAGCTCTGCGGGTGCCTGTGGTGTCGAGGTGTCGACAAGGAGCTGGCAGGCTGGTTCCTCATGGAGTGCAGACCGCTGGACCGAGGGAGGGAGGGAGGGAGCTGCAGTTGTTTAGCGTTTGGGGTTGGGACGACTACTTGTAGGAGCGGCCTGGACGCGCACACGCACATATACATTATATATATATATATAGGCGATGATGGTGATCGGGACGGTCATGATCACGACTTTTCACCATCACCATGATCACCTTCATCATCTTCGTCATCATCATGTTCATCTCCATCTTCAGCATCATTTTCATCATCGCCATCATCTTCATCCTTTCTATTTCCATCTTCATCATCTTTGTCATCAGCAGCATCTTTATCTCCATCTCCATCTTCATCTTCACCATCATCATCATTATCACATCATCTACATCATCGCCATCATTACCACATCACCCTCATCATCGCCATCATCGCCATCATCATCATCATCATCATCATCATCATCATCAGCTTCTTCTTCTTCTTATTCATCATTTCGAGCTGGATTCTAAGCATGGTTGTTGCTCGCGGACTGATTACTAAATACTATGGCTCTTGTCTGCTGTATGCCAAACGTCTTGGCGATATGACTAGCAGTAGGAGAGACAGTGGTGTGGTGTGTTACTGTCCAGTGCGGAAGATCGTGTCGCACCAAGTGGTGCCTGAAGCTTCGAGCCGCGACGTGGCCTCTGTAGCGGTGCAGTCATGAGTACTGTGTCGCTGGTCGAGCTGGGCAGTGAGGGCAGCAGTCGAGTCTTTTGCGAAGGAATGTCCAGTGCGTATATTTAGGTAACTCTCTTGAATTGAGGTTTCGCGTTTAGTTTGAAGCACAACGTCTTCGTGTTGGGGTTCGGGCATGAGGTTTGCAACTGTCGTTTACAGCAGGTGGGCAGGTGGGCTGAACCGGAAAACACCGGTAGAGACCCTCTGTGCAAGGAATAGAGAGAGGTGTACCGACTCGGAAACAAGAGCTCGCAAGACGAAAGGCCTCAAAGCCTTTAGCAGCTCAGCACTCCAAAATAGCTTCAATTGCGATTGTCAAGAAACAAGAGTTGATCATTCTCGAGCTTCCCGTTAACAGCAAGGAAGTCGAAAGCCAGGAGCTTTGTTTGATCAGATAAAGTGTTGTTGACCTGTGGCGAGCCACCTGGCGAAGGGAGACATCCCAAATCATCCAAACATGCATTCATGGGGCTACGACCAAATCATGCAGTAGTCCTGTCGGGGGCCCACCAGAGAGGATATCCCTTCTGAGTAGATTCTGGCGAAGATCGCATAACGGACCACGAGCACATTCAGAAAAGTCTTGCAACGGTGAACGTGTGGACTCGCTTGAGTTGATGGCTTGCCTGTCCATCGAATAGGCAGTTAGTCTGGGGTCTTGGTCTTGGGTTTGAACGGTTCGAACACAGGTTTGAATTCAAGCCCAGGTTCGAACCCAGGTCCATGCCCCTTGACTCGGATTACAAATTCGGGGGTGGCCCCCCTTCTGTAAAGTGCAAAATCTGCTGCGACTGACAGGCCACAAGCAAGAAGTCACCTGTCTTCGATTTAGATGGTAAACAAGCGAGAAACAAAGGGAGAAATCGCTGAACATAAAGGCGACAGCTTGAGAAAACAGTCGAAATGCAGAAGCAGAGTCGTCACCACGTCTTGAGCTCACGCATCCTTGTCAGAGGATGCGATGTTACACATGTTTGGTTTAGAACGATCGTCCACATTCCTGAACAGAGCGGCTGGCTGTTCTTCCAGAGGGGGGTCATTGACTTTTTGGCATGATCCATTTGGGGAGGCTTGGAAGCAGATTGCAGGGCTTTGGCGGGGCTTTTGAAAGGTTTGACCTTGGCAGCCCGAGTAAAAAGGCAGAAGCCTCCCCATCTGCTGGTGTCCATGCCCCTTAAGACAAGCCCAAACGCTCAAGCCCTACAGCGACCAAGAGCCGTTCGGCAGCGCAGGACTCCAAAACAGCTGCTTTGGACGCCCGCCTTGGCAGGCTCAGCGCCACGCCGGAGAGCCCAGCCACAGGGGAACCTAGAACGCCTGAGGTTTCGGCTTCAGGGCCTGGGGTGCAGCTCTTTTTTATGGCAGGTGGGAGGTGTGGTGGTAGGATGCTTCTTCTGAAGCGTCTAGAGAGTCTAGAGTCTGGAGAGTAGGGTGTGCAGACAGGGTGCCCCGCAAGGAGATCACCAGTTGCGATTTGGCAATTCGTCGGGTCGAGGGTGCTGTCCATGTCGTCTATGTCTACGCTTCCGAGGTTGGTGACTGGTGTTGAGTCACAAGGTTTGAGACGGCTCATCGGGAGGGTTCAGGTGTATCTCAGAGCCAAAGTGGCGATTCAGATTGAGGTCACATGGACTGATCTCCGTCTTCACATCGGCCTCGATACCCAAACCTCTTCCAACACGACAGCTTGAGTCGTGAATCCCAAGCCCTCGAGACCCGAAAGCGAACCACCGAAGCTTGCTTGGAGGCTGGCAAGGTGCCGTGCCGATGTCAAGGGCAAAGCAGCACAGGCGAGGGCTTGAGGTTCAGGGTTCCGCGACATCAATCCTGAAGGCCCGAAGACACAAGTCGACGAAGTTTGGAGTTTCAAAGGCCAGGGGGAAGCCCGGAGCCGCCAGACCCTCAACAACTCCTGGAGCTGGTAGTACCCGGACTCAGTACCCACTGAAACGGAAGCAGACTCAATCGTTTTGCAACGCCTCAACGGACTGATGCTCTTCACAGTCGTCATGCACCTGTGAAGAAGAGAAACACTTTCAACATTGCCGGTAGTTCATGCCGAGCAGGAGATGCAGCAGCTAGAGAAGCAAGCGCTGGCCGGAGCCCCGGTGTTCGATAAACCCTGCCTTCAAGTCGTAAAGTTAAGTTGGAGGTCGGCATCGAGATAAGAGGGCTTGGGGGCAAGGAGGGCTCAAGGATGTTGTCCACAGTCTTGCGGGACAGGAGTAGCAATCCACCGGCTTCGGATCCAGATTGAACCTCGACGGTACGTGTGAAAAACCCTCCGAAGCCCAGTCCCTGGGCCTGGGGTGCCATGATCGCAGGCTGCGCTCCGGCATCATCAGCATGTGAAGGAGCTGTCGGACCCCAAGTGGCCAAGGATCGCTTCAACTTCCCTTGAAGGGTTTGGAGTAGAGAGAGTAGCTGCAGACGTGGAGGCAGAGGAGTAGTAGTACCAGACCAGCCATTATCACGAGTCACTAGTCCTGCTGCTACTTCACTTCCACACGGTCGTCGACCACGCTTATATACAAGATCTTGGCCATCGCCACTACCAGTATCAATGTTATGACCATCCGAGAAGACCAAGACGGTTTGGACCACTCAGAACCTGTGGGGTGGGGGCGGTGCGGTTTCAAAGGTTTTCAGGCACCAGCAAGCACTTGGAAGCCACTGGAGATCCGATCATCCCCAAAAGCCCGAAGGCGAGACCATCGTAGATGCCTAAACCTGAAGCCAGAGACGCTATGTGGTCCTCGGCTGGCACCCTACGCGAGGTCCAGTGACGACGTGTCCAATGAGATGGCGGGTGAGAAGGAGACTTTGGAAAAGCAGCACGGCATGCCTTGTCGGCCAGGGCTCAGTTTGGAGTTTAGGGTTCATCGTTTGGAGACTTTTCGATGTCTCGTCTGGCATGATATCATGAGGAGGCATCAAGCTCAGGATCCCCAACCCCTTCAACTCATCAGACCAAGCAGTATCGAAACGCAGCAGTGGGCACCAGTACTTGAGGCATTTATAAACTTACTGCCGTGCCAACCCGCCAAATAATCGCACACTTCATCGCAGAGCCCCCGAAGACTGCTTTGACGAGGCTGTGGAGTGAGAGTGGAATCGCCGCAGAAACGCGAACAGAACAAAGGGTTTGTTCATGGAAGATGCAGAGCGCTAAGCGTGTCGGAGAGCAGCATAGAGTGTCAGGGTGGTTATCGAGGTGTGGTGAGCAAGGAAGTTCAATGCTCGCCCCGAGATTCTGAAAGCAGAGTTCGTCGTCTTGCAGCTTCGTCGAGCCTAGGTCCGACTTCATCAGCTTTTTCGCCAAGTGTGCCTCGGTAGCAGATGCTCACAGCACATGTTGGCTGGAAGGGGCGGCAGCTACAGGGAACTAGTCCCTTGGCAGGTGAAAAGCCGGACGGCGCCGAAATGTCAGAGGAGGATGCTCTCATATCCAGTAGTAGGATGGTTTCTGCTGTTTCTGCATCTGTGTCGGTAATGCGTGCAGCTTTGCGGTGGTTGTTCTTGTATCTTGCGTGCTGCTACTGTTTTCTGACCTGATTGTTAACATAATCCTTCGGATTAAAAGATTGCGATGATGGTTAGCCTTCTTCGTGGCCAGCAGCAGCCTTACTTTCAAACGTTTTTGGGATAAATGCGCAGGACCTTTCCCGGGTCTTCGACGTCCTGGCACAGGAGGAGGCCATCGAGAAGGCCAGTACAGCTTTGGTGGGTTTAATTTAAGCCATTGAGGTTGTTAACGTTGTTCTTTCGATATTCATGGGATAGCCTCGAGCAGAATACACAACGGAGAATCATGCATGCACCTCTTGTGCGCCAGGGTAGAATGACGGCGCTCATCCGCTGCTTTAAAAAGGTCGTCAAGGAGCGCGGAAGTGCAATCATTCGTCATTGCGATTCCGGATTTAGGGTGTGCTTCGGCTGCTTCACTGCCAGAACCGGCCGAGATATCGCTCACATGCGGGCCGAAGGAGACCGTGCTCACTCGAGACAAGAGCGTCAAGGGTGAGTCGATAAGAAGACTCCTCGCCGGCAGCCGAGGTTTGTGAGATGTTGCGGTGCAGGTGCCGGTCTTTTCAGAGGTTGGCATGTCCTAAAGAGAAAGGTCGCTTCTTTTTACTCTAGCCGTCACACAGCAACCCGTCAAAGTGTAATCAGTACATGGATGACGGTCAGGCCCTGATTCACGCCGTACAGTAACCCTACCTGAGCCAAAACGCTCAACCCGGAACTGGACATTTTAAGACCAAAGGAAGCTCGAGCGTGATGCTCACATGTGTACTTCAGGCGCCCTGTTTCTGGTGGGATCTCCACTTCTGAGGCCGGAGAGGTGCTAGAGCTTTTGGGCGCTGAGGCGGCCGACGAGGAGGCGGCTTGGGATGTCTCGTAGGGCTTATGGCTTATGTTTCAGGGTTATGGGGTCAGAGCGACCCTTGAATAAGGCTCTTAGTGCACAAGCCCGGATGACAAGCTGTTCATAGTATTGGGCTTCTTTTTTGCCCTTGGTTGATTCTAAGCCCGGCGGGTGCTGAGGGGGGGGGTCCCACCAGAATGGGCTGGCTGACTTTGTTTGCGACTCTGGGAATGTCGAGAAAAAGGCAGTTCTCTTCTCTGCAGTGCTGCGGCAGTCGCACATACAGAATCTCCCTCTGCTCATTCCTTACCTCTGGCTTTCGAGCAGGCAGATGACAGTAACTGATTCCGACCTTGGGGTGTTTGTCGGTGTTGTAGTTGTTTAAATATTTTGAGTTTCCGGACTCGTTTTTTGATTTTCTGAAGGAGGTTCTAATAGTCTAATGAACAACTCAACACTAGACCGCAGGATACCTCAGGCTTGAAATTGTACGGCCTTAGATGTCAGATTCTATGTTACGTATGGTTAGCAGCACCTAGGCCAAAAAATGAAGGCGAGAGTCTTCTAGGCAGGTGCACTATCTCTCCAAGTGTTCCAACCGCCAAGGTCCAACTCCACATGTCTAATCCGATGCCGTAGATTGCGTGCTTGTTTGCTGCAAAATACGCTTGCACCTGCCCGAGAAAATGCGGATCACCGATAGCTTTGTGCGGCACTTGACATTAAGCCACTGCTCAACTAAGCCCTTCGTGGCCTCGTCTATCTGGGCCCTTATTGTCATATCCTGGTCCTCACCGCACTCTGACTGGGGTAGGAGCTCATTATATTAGTACGCTTTGCAGTCGAGGACTGGAGCCCACGACTGCATGCTAGGGTTCTAGCGGGTATGGTTTTGCGAGTTGAGATGTGGTTAAGCCTCCGTTGGCTTTCCTTTCACCTCAACTCAGTGGACATGTTCCTCCCCTGAACAGTCCGCGAGTGTCGAAACCGCCAGGCCGGTGTGCGACGGGTGAGGTGTCACGCGCTGAGAGATGGCGCGGAGGGTTGGGTGACTACTTCAGGCCGGCAGCTTGGAGATTGTGCGCTTGGCTCTACTTGGATTTGCTGCTTTTGGACTTTGTGGCGTCTTGCTTATCTTGACAGGGACCGCTAGTTATTTGCTCACAGCCTAAGTCAAAATCCGAATCCACATCCAGCACGATGTCGAGGATGTTCGGTTGCAGGTAGCAATGGCACACCCTTTCTGCAAGACTACAGCGGCGTCTACAAAGTTGTCAAGGAGCCGGTGTGTATGCACAGCTGGGCTTCTCCGCTTGAGTACCATCAACTAGTAGATCTGGCTACTGGCTTGTTGCTTTGCGTGTCTGCACTTCCCGAAAAACAATTGATCTCTAAACTCTAAAGGACCGGGATGATCAACAGCTACCTTTCTTTCCGGTGACACCCCTGAGACCCATCGGCCTGAAGTCCAGCAACCTCGAAGACCTAAGCGAGAGCTTTCATTTCCAAGCCATGACTCCCGAACCACATGCTCACACGAAGCGGTTGGGTCACTACGCTATCCCATAAGTCAAGACACCATGACGCCACTGGGGAAACCTCAGACGAGGCCACGAATAAATAGCACGTAGCGGGCAAATCTCAAAAAAAACCGTGAGCGCTGAAACCTGGACTCCCGCGGGAGTTCTGAATTGCGATATTCCAAACCCTAAAGTCATGGTCAAGTATCACTCCGACTGGCACCTATGGATCCTCGCCTGGCGTTTCCGAGCTGTGAGAGCGTAAACCATGCTCAATGCCCAAGTTTGCTCAGGAGACCATCCTAACCGAGGCGTTCGAGCTCGACACTTCAGGGGGCAAGGCAGTGTGCTTGTTTGAGGGCTTGATCTCTGAGGTGTTGTGTTTTTGCCTTTTGGGATTAGTGAGCCCGAGATTCAAGAGGCTTTGTTCATCAATGTTGTGAGGTTGAGGTGTCTTGTACTAGTGACTAAGTTGAGGTGTCTTGACCTCCCACACTCCTAGCGGCAAAGTGTTGTGTCCATCTTGAGCTCTCTGAGCAGCGAACTATGACATCCCACCGGCCTGATGCAACCTCCTCCCCAACCAGAGCGCAAAAGAACACTACAGAGTTCGGTTCCTTGCACTGTGTCTTGCGAACGACAGCAGGGCTCGTTTCTTAGGGTTGCCTTCGTCGCAGCAGAGCGAACCGAAGCAACGCTCGAGTAGCGCACGCGACAGAAAGAGATTAATTTCAAGACGCCCTACGGAAATCGCGTAAGTTTGGCCCATCTTTGTCTGAATGGTAGAAAAAGACCATGCTTTAGGGTTGTCACAACATCACCGTGGTGGCAACACCACCCGTGCGCTGCCAATGATGCAGGAGGCCCCACGCAAGCTCCGCCCGGGTGACCTCGTGGACGTGCGGATCTGGCCGAAGAAAGATGACAAGTCTGGGGCCCAAATATTTCTCAGGTGGCAATGGCTTCACTTCCAGGGCAGCCAGCTTCCCGAATCAGGAAGGTGTTTCACGAGTTCCGATTCCAGCATTATAAGCAGCCACCAGAAGCCAGCAGCTGCCCGAGAATCCTGCGCAGGTCCGGTCTCATGCGCCTCAAGTGCAGCTTGGCATCACCTGAGTCATCCTTTGCACTTCGAGACCTCATGAACAGAGCGGGGGCATACAGCTCGACGAGTCATGCGGCCAGTTTGACACTCTCTGCCATTCAAAGGGGGTTGTACGATCGCGGGACAGTTGCAGAACATGTCAAGAACCAGACTGTGCACCGTGGTAACTTATCGCATGCCCTCACTTCGTGCCGTCGAGGCAAATGCCGGACGGATGGTACGGTCGGCTGGGTGACGGCGGTGGGCAACACGGGAACTACTTTCCTGGAGGCGCCAGAGGACAAACAAAGCTCATACTGCTGATGTCGTTCTTCAGAGACTAACATGCGGCATTTTGCTTTACGCAACAGGCTTCACAGCTGTGTTGGGTCAGGGCCTTGGTGTGTTTGTAGTGGTTGTTGTAGGTTTCAACCGTACCGTGACATGAGACCGGCCAGGCGTTCGTTTGGCTTCTGGACTTCAAAGTGTCAATATCTCTGTTCTGTTGCTGAATCGTTGAATGCTTTTCTGCTGCGCTGTACTGTCCGGCAATCCAACATTACGCTTTGTAAGACAGAATCAAGTTTCATATTCCGCATGTTGCAAACCGCATTAGATAGTATGTCACGCATACACACTGTATACAGACACGTGCACACATACATGCACATATAACAATATGTACATATATGCATTTATGCATGCGTGTACGTAAATATGCATGTGTTTATGTATGTATGTATGTATGTATGTATGTATGTATGTATGTATGTGTATGCAGCTGTCTGGACTGGTTTACAGCCTGAGCTCTCCATTGTGCCCTGTGCAGGTGATGTGATGATCCATGGAGGCACTCGGCTCTGCGATGTGTGGTTGAGCCTGGTTCATCTTGCGCGGGTGCTCTTTATGCCCGACCCCTGACAATAAAGCAGACATGCGAATTTACCGGCAACTCATGTGGACGCAAGCAGTCGACCTGCAGGGGTGTCGGCGCTCCGCCACCGCCTCCTAGCCTGGCGGTGGCTGAAAACGCGAGCGTCCGGCGCAGAAGAGAGTCCAAAAAGACTGTTTGAGGCTTTGACTGGTTCGTTTGCGTCAGTTTGATGGATTTTGCAGGTTCTTGCTGATACTTTTAACCGGTTTTGTGGCTGGAGATTCACACTAGCATGGTCATCGGCATGGGCTAGTAGGATGCAGTAGGATGATGGTCGAGTTCATTTCTTTTGGAGGAGCTTGCAGCGAGGGGCTTAGGTTTTTAGCCGGCCTGGGAGCCAACACCCAAACCTGGACTCCAAGTCCACGCACTAGAATCTTAGTAGCTGAGTGAGCACACTTTTTGGGGTAATACGATCCCTTATAGATCTGAAAGTACACATTTTTTGATGCTTATGAACTCAGCAACTAAAGAATCAATCTACTATTATGAACAAACCTCAGCGCCGCAGTTACAAATAGGGTAGTAGAAGAGTGCGTATGTTGATGAACTGGTGAAGGTGTTTGAGCTCGGAAGGTCAGGGCTCGCTCGACCCGGAGAGGCTGCAACCCGAGAGGCGACACCCCTGCAGCCCAGAAACGGTCCCTAAACTTGTTTGGCTCTGGGTTTCTCGAAAAGTTCGTCACGGCAGCCAGATGAACAAACGCAAAGAGGCCACCGTCCCAGTGAGGTCCGGGGTGATGTCGGATGGTGATGGGCGTGACACTGATTGGTGGTGCTGGTGGTGCGAAAGCACGATGTTTTTGATGCCCAACATCGTGGTGTAGGGTTTCTGACAGAAGATGCACGGGCGATTGTGCCGACGATGAAGGTGTTTCTGGCGGTCTCGATCAGAATGAGGCTGTTGCTGAAGACCCGACGAGATCCGAATGGTCCATCGTGACCAGGTTGGTGATGAAGGTCATAATCTAGTGACCATATTGATGCTGGTGACGGAGGTGATATGTTTCAATCATGCTGATGCTTCCACTTTCGGCTGTGCGGGTGTGCTCGAGGTAGATGGGGTGGCGGTAAGCCTGCAGTTGCTGGCGATCGCGACGGCGGTGATGGTCATGATGATGCAGTTCCGGTGATGGTGATGTGATGATGGCAGGTGGTGGCTGTGATGGTGATGATGATGGTGGTGATGATGATGGAGATGAAGGCAGATTTCAACGAGTGATGTCGTCACTCGGGACAAGCATTGTTGTTTTCTGCCACGGCCGCAGCTGTTGGTATAACAGTGCTCTTGTAGTCCGACGCTTATGTTCTGCGTTTTTCTACTTAGAAGGGTTATTTCTCGACGTAAACATGGTGATAGTGGTGAGGCTGAGGGTCGCGGATGGTTCTTATGAGAAGCTCGATTGTACGATGATGCGGATGCTGACGCTACGCACGCCCTTTGTCATGTCGGCGTCATCGCCATATGTGCCATATGTGCCATCAGTCTTATCATCATGCTCTTCGTGGTCCTTCCCGCCGTCGTCATGCCTCCTCATCTTTTGTCCTGCTGTCGTGACGATAGATGCAGAAGGGCGGCTTGTGATAAAAATACCGAACATGAGGAGATGAAGGATGAAGGATATGAGGACAGTGTAACTGAACAGCATTGGTTGACCTGTTTTTGCTCGCGCAGTTGCGTACCACTTTAAATCGCGGCAGTGTTTGCAATGACTGGGTCAGCATCTGTGCCGTGTCATGGCAACACCAGTAAGACCAGAAGCCATGCTACTGTGATTGGTTGGCCTTTGCTGTCGTCCGCGTCCCAGTCATGGTGATCATAATTAGTAGTTTTGGTTGTGGTGACTGTGTAGTAGACAGTGTCGCAGCGGTTGCTACTGTTGTCGTGGCCGTTGTCGCTATGCTGATTTTTGTTGCTCCTGTCGTTGTTGAAATGTTATTGTTGGTGTTGGTTGGTCGGTCGGTGTCGTCGGTGTCTCACATGTCATCAATGCTGCACAGGCAAGGGCCTGTCCTCACAAGTCTGGATCCAGCGCCAATGTCACCCTCTGCTGTAAAGAGTGTGCGAAGATCTACATCTTCTCGCTTAGGGCTTGATTTGTAGCTAAAGCTCCTTTCATTCGTGGGTTGGTTCGGGTTGGTCTTGCGAGTGCAAGGGCTGGTAGTGCTTTTGTTGCGTACCGCATGCCGTCGCTTTTTCCAACACCACCATCAAGTTTCGGCCTCGGCGTCGGTCAGATCACATGAGCCCCAAAGCTCTACGGCCGGCATCCTGAGCCTTCTTAAGCACTGAACCTCTGGATCTTCAACCCTGGACCAGTCTTAGTATTGGAACCCCGAACCCTGACCTACACTAAATGCTAAGAAAAAATTCAGTTGAAACGCTCAGCGCGGTACGGCAGATGGAGCAGATGGAGCTTAGCCGGAACAGCATTTCAAGCTCCGACCGCTTACACGCCGAACAAAAACAAGAGCCCGAACCCCCACACTCCAAAAAGCTCCTTCGAACATGCTCGAGCATAGAGAAAAAGCCTTCAACAACCCTGAACCTGTAGCAAACGATACTTCATGCCTTAAAAGAGCCCGACTTCCGAGCTCCGAAGCAGCGACCGCTGTTGTGAACAATGGCGCCGAAGAAGCGGAAATATGATGAAGCCGATAGCTTCGTCAACTGCCCTGTACGGGGATGCAAGATGAGACTTGGTTCAAAGTGGTATCAGACCGGTATCAGATTTTTCCGGACGATTTCGAAGAAATGGGCCTTGAACGTATTGCAGGCTCGCCCCGTAGGGATGTGTAGCCATGTTTCAGTTTAATTTGTCTGAAGTTTGAGGTTGAGGGTGCAGACAGGTCCTTTAAGGTGCTTCAGTGTTTGGGCTCGTGCTTCAGGCAGGCTCTAGGGGGAAAGGATGGCTCAGGGTTGAGATGGTGCTTGCCGAAGACAGGGTCTTCAATCTCTCCAAGGGGCCACAATGCAAACAAGCCTGCTCAAGGGCCCCTGAAATTCGGAGGCTCCGCTTTTCCGATCTCTGGCCTCTGGGGGGATCTAAGTGAGTCTAGACACCAGCGAATCTTTCTGATAAGACAGCCCGCGCGACCCTCACTGTGATGAGACGAGTAAATCAGTGGAAGGGGCGGGTTCGCTTCGGGCATCATCCGATAGAGCTAAATGCTGTGCCAAGATGACATGCGCCAATCCAGACCCCATGGCATGCGCTGCATGTTGCATAATAGACGTTTCGAGGGCGAGGCTGCATTCCCTGGGACCAGTCCTCTTACCGAGCGGGTTGCACGGCGCAATGCCAAGCCCTAGAAACCAACTTTATGATTCCAGCCGGGGCAGGAATCAAACCTCCAAAGCATGCCGACGATACTCCGCACCAGGGTTCCTTATTATCTTTAATTACAGATAATGTATTGTAGTAGTAGCAGCAGTAGTAGTAGTAGTAGTGGTAGTGGTAGTGGTAGTGGTAGTGGTAGTGGTAGTGGTAGTAGTAGTAGTAGTAGTAGTAGTAGTAGTAGTAGCAGTAGCAGCATTAGTAGTCTTCGTCGTAGTAATAATTATTTTGATTTCCGTGCGAGAAGGACCCGAAAAAATACTTGGAAGACGCCAGGCGAGTTGATGAGGCCAATCTGCAAGCTCACATCCTAGAGAAGCATGCGAGGTCCCAGGCCCGAAGGGCCGAAGGGGCTGTCTGTTTTCGGATTCAGGGTTCCGTGCCAGGTCGGGGGCTAAGTTTAAGGGCCTGGGGATTCGGGAAAATGTGGCCTACGGTTGTCCTATTTGGGGGGTCGGCTCTTGGGCTTAGATTTTTCAAGTTTTTCTGGATTGCAAGGTGTATCTTCACTGCCCAGGTTCGGGTTGCGGAAGCCACAGTATCCAACGGTCCATGTTCCCTGAAGCCGCAGAGTGCCTTCGACTCAGACCATATAACGAGTGTGCATCTGCAGTCCTGCGCTGAGCCGCAAAGTTGTTGTTCGCTTCTGTTGGTTATACGGACGGAGGACATGGGCCGATCAGCATCCCAACTAGCCAATAAAGCAAGGGGTAACCAAGAAACTCACAGGACGTCTCGCGCCTAACAGGCCGCAAGGGAGATCAAGGAGAAGTATCCGGGGTTGGCGAAGGGCCCCCCGTGCGGGCCGTGCGCCTTGTCTCAGCACTTGTTCCGGGAGCTGTTTCGTTGGGAGCTGTTTCAAAACGGTTGGCAGAAGTAGTTACCCTGGCAAGTTGGCAAGAACAGATGATTCAGGTTGAGGTCTGGGCCTTATTTCAAGGTCTTGCAGTTCCCAAGCCCAGCGCAGGTGATATGGAGGTGTGTGGGGATGCGGCGCCTGCGGCACCCGCAGCCTCCTCCACAGGGCCCACAGTACGGCGGGAGGCCGGGGCTGGGTGTCGAGAACCCCGAGATACCCCGAGCTTCCCGCTCTGTCGAGTGTGGGCTTTTCCTTGAGCAAACCCGGTTTTGAATTTCGCACACGAATCTGCCGTTGAGAAGCTTCCTGGGACCACTGGCATCCTGAACCCCAAACCGCCGTGCCTGCCAAGTGCGAGTCGAAACCGCCGTAGTTTGTGGCTCGATCGATGACACTCTCAGGAAATATTGGGACTGAACCCGCGCGGGGCATCTTTCGACACGACTGTATGAGCATCGATTCGGACGTGCTTCGCAGGACAGCCGCGCGCGGCAAACCGCAGTTACGGTCATCATCCCTGCTAGGCCTTTCAACTTGAGCCCGAGGCTCACAGCCTTGCAGCTTTCACTGCGCCCTGGCGGAGCCTCGTCGGCCCGGGACAAGTCGAAGTTTGAAAGCCTTGTTTGGATTTGTGTGTGTGTGTGTGGGTGTTTTTTTTAGGGAGGTTGGGTGGTGGGGCTTATGGGCTTTAAGATGTCGGTTCTTGCTTCGGGGGATATTTTGGTGCGTGCAGCTCCTCCGAACATAGTGTAAGATTCGATTTGTAAGATGGGGTTTCCAACTGCCTACAGCTCCATTTGTCGCGGTCGCGGAGTGTGGAGGTTTGGAAATGCAGGCTCGAGTGTGATTTCCGTCTCAATGCTTCGCCCGTCGGCTGTTCGACTCTCTACTTGGCTTCCGGATTCTGTTGCTTCAGTGTGGTTTGCGGTTGGTCGTGTTCTTTATTCTGCTTCTATGCGTACTTCGACGTGAGTTGCCTTAGTTGCAAGGGGGGGCCACTTACTACAGGGGTCCCAGTTTGAAGCGGCAACTCGCACCCAAAATCCGAAGAGAAAGGACAGTCTTCTTCGACAGGAGCTGCAGCTAGTATAGAGCCCCGAACCACCAAGGCCAATACTGAACCAAAAGGGCACCACCAACTCGAGCAGGGTTCAAGGGTGTTTCAATTTTTACATGACCAGAGGGATGACGCGGAAAACCGTGTTAGAAGCATTCAGGCCCCTGTGTTCTGGGAAGGCGGCCGTCGATAGCATGCAGGCCCTCCAGCTTAAGACACATCCGGAAGCAGAGCCAGTTGAAGGCCAAAAAAAACCAATCAAAGTCATAAAGCATCCCAGGTCCAAAGCCCGAACTTAGGCATGCATCATGCGAATATAGATGTCAGAGAGCTTGTCCACCTTAGTCGAGCAAAGAAAGGATCGAGCTTTTCGATTTGTCCGACGGGAACCTTTGTGGCACTTTCATGCGCGAGGCCGCGGATTTCAGAGATGGGATTGTTGTTGACTTCAAACAGATCTTAGGCCAAACTGAGGACAACTTCGCCCAGCTTTTCTGAAAGATATTTGACAAAGAAGCTAGCCCAGCTCTTTGCGCCAACAGGATCCAGAATAGTTTCTCTACGGACCTTCGACCAGGATGGCCGTCTACGGGTAGGTATCAGCGGCAATCTACTGCACTTCAAGATGCTGTAAGATTGTTCTGCCCTGAAAGAAAAACAGTAATTACCTGAAGTAGCTGTATGTGTGCTGCATGTAATAATATGTAGCTGTATGCAACTGTATGCAACTGTCTGTCTGTTAGTCTGTCTGTCTGTCTGTCCGTCTGTCCGTCTGTTTGTCCGTCTGTTTGCATGCATGCATGTATAGATGGATGGGTGCATTATGTGGGTACAACTGCATTGCATATACCAGCATGCTTATGACCACTGTGTATTTATACATTTATATGTGTACCTTAAGAACCCAAAACCCACTTTTTTGTAGGCTCTTACTATAAACGCTAATATGGGATTTAAAGGGACCCTACAAAGAAGTAGGTTTTGGGTTCTTAAGGTATATATATATATATATATGGGTGTATACATATCTACACATATATACATATTTGTATTGTACATACAGACGTACAGGCGCGCATGCATACACTCGTAGGTCGTACGTGTCTGGAAACACACGCACGCTTGCATGCCGTGTTTTTCTGTCCAGCTACTCGTTGTCAGCTACACCTGCCTGGGAGTGTGCGGGCATCTCTGCGTTCATGCTTGCGCACTCGTGCAGACCTTGAGCCTATATGGACTACCCCGATGGGATATTGATCCTCAATTTTTCAAAGTGCGACTCAGTAAGCCGCATTTGTAGCACGTTCAGCCCCCGCCTGCTTTGATTGGAGGCGCTGGCTGTTGACGGGCGGCCATCGTACAAGTCCGACAGCCTCCCGGCTCGGTTATGATGGGATCGATTAACGTGCACAGAGTGCTCTGGAGAATTTAGGCTGTCTTCGACAGCTTCAACCAGAAACCCAAAAGCCTTTGGACTGTGCCGCAGCCGCCGGTTGGCTTGTAGTGCTTGTGGAAGTCAGGTCGAGCAAATACTCTCAGTCGTTCCGCGAAAATGGCGACCGTTGGAGAGGTCTTTCAAACCAGCAGTGTCGTGAGCGTCGTGCTCTTCTTGAAATACTTCATCACAAACCTACGCTGGGGATTATTGAAAGGGAAAGCCAACATGCGAGCGAGAGAGGATCCCAACAACAACCCGAACGCAACGCCAGAAGACGTTGACAAGGCGACAGCTGCGGGCAGGATTGTCCAGAATGACATCGAGAACATCCCCTTCGGATTGATCTTTATCTGGGGCGCGGCTCTGTGCATCCTTGGTGTCCGAAGCTCTATGAAAGATTCGTCAGGGCTGTGCACCGCACACATAGTCCTCTCGGGCATCTTCGCTACGGCGCGTGTGGCGCACTCGATCATCTACATCCTTGGCTTGGGGCTCCCGAGAAGTGCTGTCTTCATGCTTGGCACCATGTCCTTGTTCGGCTTGGGAATCCTCGGCATGGTCGCAGCGTTCGAGATCGAGATATGAGCTATGTCAGATCTGGTCTCCAGAGAACCAAATGTGATGCAATGTGATGTATGCTGTACAGGTCGTGGACTGCTCGATGGTCCTTATAGCACACTCATCGACTCAGATGCACGATCCGAGCCTGGGTTTAAAAGAACCGGCTCAGTTTCCGTTCGGCGGCTTAGACCGAAGGAGGATGCCCTCGCCCGCGAAAGAGCATGGTGCGAGGGTGTGAAAAAGGCTGGTGTCCCATCCGTGCGTCATAATATACCTGTGATATTATTCGGATTGTTTTTGATTGGTTGAGGGGTCTTCGGGTCAAGGTATTCAATGTTTGAAGGATCACATAACTTGAGGGAGACAGTGAGTTCGAGATTTGACGAAACTGACGGGTACTGCCGAGGCTGTTGAAGACGCCGGACTTGCAGTTCTACGTCCTACGTATCCGCGCCCTTGTAACAGTTGTAAAGTCCTGGAAGCATAACAAGACTGGACAACAGAAACCCCGATCTCTAAATCGACCCTATCACTGTGGGGACATGGAAGCCTTTCTGGCACGGTCTTGAGGCTCGGCCGGGTTTAGGGCTTGGGATGCTTAGGGTACTCCCCTTCGTAGTCGTGTCTCCATTCGTCGTCTTCTTGATCTTTTCCTGCGTGCTATTCGTACAGCATAGTTGGGTCTTTATTTGCCCATATTCTTGCTGATCATTGCTAGTGTTACTAAAGTCTTGTTCCCATGACTTCAATCATTGCTTTCGGACCGAGGCGGCCGACGGATACGCTGGAAGCAGTTTAAGTCGCTGAGATCAGGCTGCTGGCAGCTGCTGTCTGCGAAAGGCCGAGATGGGCTAGGGCGGCTAGGGCCGGCTAGGGGTTTAGTGTGTAGGGTGCCTTTGGGTTAGGGCTACTGGATTCAGTGGTCCATGTAACATCTCCTTCAGCTCCTTACTTTCAACGGCATAAGACGACTTCTTGCGGAGGAAGCGTGAGCTGGCTTTGGTTTGCTTTGGTCAATGCGGTTCCGTTTGTACTGAGTGCACGAGCATGGGCGTCCTTGAGCGCAAGCTGTGATTTGGGCATGTTGATCTTAATCTTGCCCGACAAGCAATAAAGACACGGAATATCAATAGCCAGGCTTAGCGCTTTTCAAGCCGCAGCGTCCTCCGCTGACTTCCATATCCACCTGGCGGTTTCTTATCAAACGGTTGTGGGGGCCTGGCAGATGTCAGAAGGAGCAAGATTCAGCAAGATCAACTTCGGTCCATGCAGCACAGTAATTAACGGTATGTGCACCCAAAGCACTCACCTTCCGTGTGCGGCATCAACACAAGGCCTCTTCAATCAAGGAGCCTCCGAACCTGTGAATGCCAAACCTTGGTAAACACTTATTCTGAGGTGAATTCACTCGTCAGCTCCTAAGACCCTACTTCGCGACTCGCTCAGCCATGTAGGAGGCAAAAAACTTATTCTGAGGTTTACTATGAGTACTTCTGTTGCCTCATCAAGAGTAAGTTGTACCCTGCGCCCTTCAATGAGGCAGGCTTGACGCTTTCTCTGAAACGACTGCATTGACGCCCGTCGAGGCAGGCGTGCGCGCGCAGACCTGTTGTTTCCTTGGGGGAGGTTTTTAGGGTTGAGGGCTCTGGGCTTCCGTGGTTTTAGGCTTTGGGGTCGTGCTGTTGTGGATGGGCGGTGACATGCTCGTATTTTGCTGCAGACGCTCACTATCACCGTGTCCATCTGAGTCACATCCGGAACTTTCGGCTCAAGGCATCTCAAGGCTGAGTTCAGTCATACACAAAGTGTGACTTCCTTCGCTGAAAGCATGGGTCCGACGATGCTGTGGAGGATCCTCGAGTTGCTGCTTTTTGCTGCCACCCGGGCACAGTTTCCGGGTGCGGACCTGCCTTTCCCACCGATGCCTTCCGAGGCGCTGCACCTGATGTTCATCTATCCATCGATCTATCTGTATCCATTCCCTAACTGTGTAAGCAATCAACCAAATAGATGCATACAGTACATGCATCGATCTAGAACAAGATATGGATAGGCACCGAAGCATGCGTATGCATATGGATAGAGCTGTATGTGTATGCACTCATTAGTATACTCACAGTCACGTGCTTTCTCACGGTGCCGGGGTGTTGTGTGCATATTTTGGATGTGGCCCCGCGTTTAACTACCCAATAAAGCTGCACACATTTGGGGTTGAGACTCGTGCTCCGGCCACAAACTACGCTGCGTGTAGTGGCCTCTGCTATTTGGTCTCTGTTACGCTTACTTCGGCATTATGGACAGTGAATAGGCATGAGGCTAGGGAGTTGTAATCTGGTGGCCCTTTGTCCCAATCCCACGCGTAGAAGCATGCGAGTGTGGTTCGGAGGCTGTGGTTGGCCCGACTCTGGCCGACTCCAAGAACAGTTGGCCAGCGAAGCGACAGACTTTGAAGAAGGATGCTCCGAACATTGTGGTGATCATGAATGATGATGTGGGCTTCGGGGCACCCGATACCTTCGGCGGCCCCATCCACACACCAACATTGTCCAAGGTAGCATCGCGAGGTGTGTCTTACAACCGCTTTCACACGACGGCCATTTGCTCCCCCACACGCGCTTCAGTGCTGACAGGCCGGAACTCTCACAACATCGGCGCAGGGCAGATCACCGAGGCTGCAGCAGGTTTCCCGGGGTACACGGGAACCATCCCCAAGTCTGCGGCGACGGTAGCCAAGGTGTTGTCAGGATACGGCTATGACACAGCCGCCTTTGGCAAGTGGCACAACACCCCTGTGAACAATCTTTTCAAAACCGGGCCCTTCGACCAGTATCCGACAGGTCTTGGGTTCAGCTACTTTTACGGCTTTATCGCTGCTGAGACGTCGCAGTACGAGCCGCGGCTTTTTGAGAACACAAACCCGATTGAGCCTCCTTACACTCCGGAGGAGGGCTATCACCTCACTGAGGATCTTGCTGACCAAGCGATCAAGTTCATCCGCAGCAACCGTGCACTTACACCTGATCGGCCTTTCTTCATCTACTTCGCTCCTGGTGGCACCCATGGGCCCCACCATGTGCACAGCGAGTGGGCAGACAAGTACAAGGGTAAGTTTGATATGGGCTGGGAGAAACTTCGCAACATCACCTTCCAGAAGCAGAAGGCCATGGGATGGATCCCACCTACCACAGAGCTGACGGAGATAGACCCCACCATGGAAAAGTGGGAGAATATCTCAGAGAAAGAGCGTGCATTCCAGCTTCGCCTGGTAGAGGTGTATGCGGGGTACCTCGAGCATACGGACACACAGGATGGCAAGGTCATCGAAGAGCTCGAGCGTCAAGGTCTGTTCAACAACACTTTGGTGATCTACATCCTCGGCGACAACGGGGCCTCTGCGGAGGGGCTGCATGGCAGCATTGACGAGCTTATAGTGGAGAATGGGCTGCCGGCCACTGCAGAGCAGCAGATCGAGATCTTGGAGCGAGACTTCGGTGGTCTCAGTGCTCTGGGCTCGAAGCATGTGCACAACATGTACCACAGCTCCTGGGCTTGGGCCCTTGATACACCTTTCAAAAGCACCAAATTGGTGGCTGCCCACTTCGGCGGCACACGAACCCCTATGGTGATGTCTTGGCCAAAGGTGATCAAGCATGACCCGACTCCGCGATCCCAATTCCACCATGTCTGCGACGTCGTGCCCACAATTTACGAGGCAATTGGAATCAAGGCGCCCGAGCATGTGGAGGGTGCGACTCAGATGCCCCTGGACGGCGTGTCCATGGTGTACACCTGGAACAATGCTTCAGCAGTGGGGCGAAAGGATACGCAGTACTTCGAGGTCATGGGCAGCCGCGGCGTGTACAAGGATGGTTGGTTTGCGAGCGTCTTCGGCCCTCGCATCCCGTGGACGGGAACCAACGCAACACGCCTGAAGGAATGGAACCCGGACACTGACGTTTGGGAGCTCTATGACTTGACCAAGGACTACTCGCAGGCCCGTGACCTTGCCAAGGAAATGCCGGAGCAGGTGAACAAGATGAAGGGTATTTTCCTCGTGGAGGCACAGAAGAATAAGGTCCTTCCTGTCGGCGCAGGCTTGTGGACCATCGCCTATCACCCAGAGCAAGGTCCAAGGTCACCCCTAACGGAGTGGTTTCTCTACGAGGGCATGACGCGCATAGCAGAATCCAACGCGCCTCTTTTCCGCACAGGGTTTAGCTCCATCGCCACTCTGGACGTGGAGGTGGCCAAAAATGCTTCCGGGGTGTTGTACTGCGTGGGCGGAACCGCCGGCGGCTTCTCTGTATATATGGATCAGGGCTATCTCTACGCGGAGTACATGGCCACGTTGCTGTACCGCTACATTACGAAATCGTCCGCACCGCTGAAGGAAGGGAACGCAAAGATTGAGATCAAGTTGCAGTACGAATCACAGCCTATGATAGCTCCCGCACAACTCATTATGCTCGTAGATGGAGCTTTGGTGGCTTCACTGTTTGTGGAAAAATCGATGCGCTTGGCCTTCGATGCCTCGGAGACATTTGATGTGGGCATGGATCTTGGTTCGCCCGTGTCTTTGCTGTACCAAGACCGTGTGCCGTTCAAGTACAATGGCAAGATCAACCAGTTGCACGTCAAGTACATCAATGGCACCGCCGTCACATCAGCAAGCGCTGTGCTGATCTAAGCCCAGAACGGCTTCAGAAGGACACCTGTTTTGAGTGTCCGAATTGTATGTTATTTACCAAGACCCTGTTGAGGTGTAACGCCTTCCACTTTTGTGCATGCCTGTGCATGCAGCCTGTTACCCTGCAGCATCGATCATTACAATTTCAATGTTGACGACTCCTGACAGCACATTAACGTGGGAAGAAGTCCGTCTGCCATTCGTGTTTACTCAGCAGGGCCTGAGTTTGATGAAGTCCTGGTGTGAACCTGGAATTTGCCGGTACTTCATTTGGGATAGCTCGAGCTGGGGAAGTCTGTGCCCTTTCTCGGCCTGCACCGTCCTTTTTGCCCGGATTTGGGGTTTAGGTGTCACTAGGCTCGGACATTCAGGCGATTGCACAAGTCCTGATGCAAAAAGGTGTAGTGACAAGCGGCAGCTGCTGAATTAGCTACACGACAGCCGATAGCCTCGGATAGCGGTATAAAGCCGTACTGCATGCCGGAACCACAAAAGGCAATCCGCGTGTTACTATGACAGGTATTGTCAACCGAACTGAGGGACGCGGAAGCCATTTTGTCAGGATCTCCAGTGGAAGAACAAGGACAAGGAGGCCTGTCCCCGTACTTGGCTGTAGGATCGGAATTGATGCTCTGTGGATGCTTGCACATACGGGTTTCCATCTTTTTCGTGGTAGTTGACTTAGGACCTTCTGTGCAATTATTGGAATCTCTGAAACCCGTCCTGCCCGCGACACATGGGCCAACAGGTAGAGTTTGAAGTTTAGGGTTGAGGCTTTAGAGTCTGTGGACCCAGACCTTGAATGGGAGAACTTGAACTCGGCGAACGGCTTGCTGACGGAGGCTTAGGTCTGACATCGGTTGCCTGGCACTGGTTGTAGGGAAGGCATCCTTGCCTAGTGTCGGCACGAGTTCGATCTCGAAACCAAGACCGATGTTTGCGGCATCCCATATCTATATCTATTTATCTATTTAAATATCGATTTATTTATCTATTTGTCGATGTGATTGTTATCCACTTATCCATGTATTATCTATTCACTTGCTTTCTGTTTCTATATTGTACATAAATTTATCTGTACCTATATGTAGATCTATGTCTACGTCTATTTCTATATCTGTTTATCTATATCTAGACCTATATCTGTGTCTATGCCTATGTAATATATGTACATACATATGTTATACGTATAGATATACATATACATATACATACANNACATGCATATATACATACATATACATGTATGAATAATGCACATCATCCACGGAAGTCTGCACGTTATGCTTGCCATATTCTGTGGATATACACTAACAGTCGTGAGGGTCAACCTGGTTCCATGTTCCTGCCCGAGCCTTGGGGATGTATACCCCGCCCCGAAGCCAAGATGCCGGGCCCACAGCCCAAGCCTCATGTTTCGGCTCGGGGAGGTCTTATCTTTCCTGCACTGCCGGGTGGCGCCGGCACAGCGCTTGCGCTACCAGGTCGATTTTGTAGGTTCAACAGGTTCAGGGTTTAGGGTCGGCGAGATGCCCAAGGATTGTGCGTACTTAGCCTTGGG